AAGTTTTAACAATGCTATAATTTTGCGAGGGGTCGAGTGCAACTTGCGAGCGTCGTTCTGCACACGCGTTGGCTAGCTATTTAAATGTTTAGGCTACCTCCTCCCCGTTCCACCTCCACTCCACTTCCCTTGCCCTGTAGTTGTTAATATATGTAATATTGAATGGCGGGGAGGGGGGAGCTGTATAATTATTCTACTCGCCTATCAAGCCGTTTTTGTAGTCATCAATCTGCCGGTTTCTGGCTAGGATGTATTATTCCCCCCTTTCCATTCTTCCTGGTTCTCTCCTTACTTCGTCTTCTACAATGGTACTGTTTGCCGTTGACTGAATCTGTTGGTAAAGTTTGGAATGGTGGTTGGCGAGCTGTTGGTTATGATGGAATTTCCACACAAGCACGCTCACGCAAGGGTCGCCGCCCTTGAGGTTATCCAGAGCACAACACCGTTTTAATCCTCTCTCCCTGTCGAGTTGGTGGTGATAGACGCGAGTCGGGCCAGCGTCCGTCTGTCTCCACTTTTACAACATTCGATCTAAGAATGTTATTAGGCTCGCATCAACTCTGAACATTGCTACCCAGTTATTTCACGGGGAAATCTCGCACTAATATAATTAACTTTCCCAACCACAAAAAACTTCGTGAGAACAATATTAATTTCAGTGTCAGAAGAGCTGCAAGCATAGTGTGACACTTGAGAACATCGTTATCCACCAATTTTACTGGACGAGAAACTAACCAAAGATGAATTTGTTGAAAGTGACTTTGTTCTGTCTGGCAACACAGTTATCATCCATAGTTTTCGTAATTTCTTGACCAGGTAGCCACAAGATAGGTATTGTATTGAAATCAGAGCTGAAAGAAATATCCCTAATATGCCGAATGTGGACTATTTTCTAAACAAAAGGGTGTTAACAACAGTAGGCTGACTAGGGAGCGCTTGTAGCAGAATCTAGTGGTGGGCGGGAGGGATGTTTGTGGTGGATGGCTGGGGGGAGTGATGACCTCGCCCCCACACCGCTGCATGCCATCTGCCACACTACTTGCACAGCGACAGAAGCTGCCACAACTAAAGTCCTTCCAGCTATATATATGACTGGAGAGTTCACATAGAATTAAAGTTAGGTTGTAAATTTACTAATGAACAAAGGACATGTTTAAGAATATCGCCAGTATTATTCTAGTTAGAATTAGCCTAGTTCGTTAAGTGTCACTTCTGAATAGTATATAAATTTGATTTGTGCATTGGTGAATGTTAAAGTTGATATAAGTGGTTATTGCTCCTGGGGATGTCACAGGGGAGAAGGGCTGCTGAAGGCATAAAATCTAAATCTTCTCATTCGACCTAAACTGACAAACTTGCAGACGTATAGTGGGCGTGTGGTGGTGTCTTAACACCATCACTGAGCCCGAAGCCTGGCACTGAACAGCTTAGGACATGGAAATTCTTGTATCTATACCCTCTATAACATGAACCTGTTATCTTTCACTTCAATTCAGTCTTTTAAAACCGCCACCTGGCGGAGCACAAACTATTTAAAAAAATGGTTTGAATATGATAATTGTATTATCCAGTAACTGGTTCATGTAGACAGACCTCGCCCGTAACTGTAGCCCTAACTGTGGTCTTGTGGGGTTGGGTGGCGAGTGCAGGGGCAGGCTGGCTGACTGGCATGACCAGTTGGACTGACCTTACGTCTGGCCCTGTTGCTTCGCCAAGCACCGCAAGACACCTTTGTTCATTCTCCGCAACTAAAATTCTAGTCTTTTATTAGACTAGTTTTGTAGGTGATGTGGAGACGAACCATGCTTGTAATGGTAGTCTAGCTTAAATTTGTGGTTTTATTGGTTTAATTTTGCCTCCAGAGGGCAACCTTATTGGATAGCATCACTAAAGTATTGTGATGTGTTGGGAGGGAGAGGATGTTGATGTTATTCTTAGGACAGGTATGCTGGTGCGATATCAGGCCGCAACTGCATGACGTAAGCCTTAAGAAAACCTGAATGCTATCTGAGCAAAAGTTATAGTCCTATATGCAGGTAAAGTGCTGTTATATGGATCTGATTTGTGTAAAGTGTTGGGTTTACCAGCGTGGTGTGGAGCAGCCATCCTGTGATAGTTTATCCCACACATCCAGTTAGGGCACATCCGTCGAGGCGCGTTACCTCTCCTAACCGTTAATCCTACTCTGCTCCTGCCAGCTCCGCCACACTCCATAACATTCAACGCTTCATCTTTTAAAAGCGGTTATTATTATTTTTGCGTTCTCTTTGAAGCAGGAGTTTTCAGTTCAATGGAGAGGTGTGGGTGTGCTTGCGTCAGCGGAAGTACATAATCTGGTAATGGAATTTTGATAGGTGTAGTGAACATCCTGACTGAACCGTCCCGCCCATCGGGGTAAATGATAGTTGTAAATGGAGGTGGTGTGAGAGGGGGTTGTGTCGGGCATCGGGTGGCCCAGACTTGGGTACTGTACAATAACGTTGCTAAAGATATAAAGACTAAACCACGCCAGAAGTGTTTGCGAGCCCCCCCATTGAGGTACCTTCTTTGCATTTACCCTAACTACAATCTTCCGCTACAGTCCATTTCCACAACCCTATTCTACCGCCCCCTCGTCTCACAAAGTGTAGAAAAAAAGCAATAGCAAAGATAATATAGTACCCGGAGAAAATATACTTGGTAACTGATTGGGGGGGAAACTTGTCCGACAAACTTAGTCCTATGCCAGTATCCCAAAAATAAAATAATGCTGGATAAGACTTTTCCTACTAGTAAAATAATGGTTACCCACTCTTTCCCCACTCCCTCATTCCCCTTTCCCCACTCCCTCATTCCCCTTTCCCCACTCCCTCATTCCCCTTTCCCCACTCCCTCATTCCCCTTTCCCCACTCCCTCATTCCCCTTTCCCCACTCCCTCATTCCCCTTTCCCCACTCCCTCATTCCCCTTTCCCCACTCCCTCATTCACCTTTCCCCTCTCCCTCATTCCCCTCTCCCCTCATTGTTTATGCTCGGATGTGTACCTGTTACTGGAGGGAATCTGCTACATTCTTTGTAGTTGCACATAGCGTGTGCAGAAGGTTTTGATAAACTGTGTGGGGGCTGGAAGGACTTGTATTGGAAGCGTGTGTAGACGTAAGGAATGGTTGTAAGGGGCCTTGTACTGGAGAAATCAAGCTGGAAGGTTGTATAGTTTGTACCATACTCCTACAAAGGTGTAGTGTAGTGTAAAAGTGTAGTAAGTAATCTTTTTACGAAGGCACATTAGCTATAAACCATTTTTGTCCATGCGTATAGCCAGAGTACAAAAACAGAAGCTTCCAGTGGAACCCTGATAATCTGCCAGCCTCGCTTGTCCTTTTAAAACCTGGTCACTACTGTACTAATTTTAAATTAAATAACCTTTTGTCTCTGCCGTGTATAACCTGTGAGATTGGTACTTTATTATTTGTCTTTGATGGTGCAAGTGATTGCCCCTCCTCCTCTACTGCAGTCAAATTAGATAGGTTAATTAACGAAGTCGACACTTTTAGACCAGGGATGGCTTGCGGAATAAACAAAGACTGCTTGCTACCTTTTAAGATCAACCAATGGAGTCTTTTATGATTCACAGGCCTAAAGGCGTCTCCGGACCTGCCAATGAGAACTGTCCCTGGTCGTTCTAACACCAGTGGAATGCACCCAACCGCGTAATATTGTTTTTTGAACAGGTGTTTTAGTTGTGTAATGTTCTCTAAAAGCTGGTAAATATAGGATACGTATTCGTAGTGTAATTAAAAAGCATGTCCAGCTATAAGGATGTTGGGTTTAGATGACAGGTGGCAGTTAAATTTGGCCATTCCCCTTCAATTTATACTCTCCTGAATTTCCCTAGTAACTTGTACTCTCTCACTCGGCTGCTGTCTAGACATATTTCCAAATTCGGTTATCATGCTTAACATTACTTGCAGAGTTGATACAGTAAAATGCTCTTTATACTCGGGTCGTTAAAATATAAAAAAATTAGCCTAGCAGGAATTTTCATGTTAACACAGCAATGGTGATGGCAGGATATAGTATATGAAGATCCCATGTTAGCACAGCAGTGTTGAGAGGCGCGTGCGAGTAGCCAATGGTGGCAGGTGATATGACCAGAGACAATAGTGTTGTTGCAGTGTTCTTGTGTCCCTCAAATGTAATCGGTATATCGCTGTAACTTCTAGTGTCGTTGCCAAGCAATGAGTTAAACGGCTTGTTTGAAGTTCATTATTGGCCCTACTTATTAATTCCTTCTCTTTTTATTTGCAGTGGGTTCTTTTTATTTCCGTGTGGTCTACCAGTATATTTATGTATCTGCCATTAATTTTGCCAAGTTATTTATACATTTTAAGTTTTGTCATGAGTATTTACAATTAGTCTCGTGTGTGCTGCTAGAGTTAGCAGCAAAACTTCTAGCGATAATCACTTGCCAGACAAGGCCACTTTCCCCCCCCCCCCCCCTCTCAACTCCACCTCTTCCCCCTCCACGCATGTGAAAAAATAGTTTTCCTCTTGAAAGTGCAGGCTAAATACCTCGGTATTATCTAAACTAATTGGTGTAGATAAGTCTATCAAAATGATCTTGGGTATTTTGCTGCTTTCTCTATGTAACATTTATTTGCCTTATTTGGTTAAATGTGAAAGCTTTTTTGTATTGCTACTGTATATATATCATGCCTCTTTTGTTTTTTTAAGTTAATTAAATCGTGCCATCAGTAATATCACTCAAAACAGTTTAATTTGTCACTACTAATTAGTGTGCAAGGCCTTAAAAGGATAAATTTTCGTATTGGAGTGAATGGTCGCAAGCATTATCACAAAGGCACCATAGATGTGATTTTTGGTGAAAGTGTTTTCAGTGTGTTCAAGTTGACTATCTGTGCTGAAGTGTGTGTGTGTGTGTGTGTGTGTGTGTAAGAGAGTAAAGACGAGTAGAGGTGTTGAAGGCGGTACTCTGATTGTTCGCTATTTTCTTCTTGCAGGCTGAGGGTGAGGTGGCTGCTCTTAACCGCCGCATCCAGCTGCTGGAGGAAGACCTGGAGCGCTCTGAGGAGCGCCTCAACACTGCCACCACCAAATTGGCGGAGGCTTCACAGGCCGCCGACGAGTCAGAGCGGTCAGTATCTCCTGACGAACAGGACCAGCGCGCCCAGCACCTTCTCTCCCGCATCGCTGACATCGGGGCCGAAGTAGAGCGTCTCTTCGCCGCCCTGCAGGCCGAGCAGGCGGCGCAGGAGACGCTCTGACCCGCCCAGTCTGCCACCCGCCATGTCCCCGCCCACAATTCCTGCTGCTACCTTCCCTTTCCTTGGTCAGTGGGCGGCGTGTGGTGGAGGGGGCGTGGGTCGGCGGTGCTGGGGGAGAGGTGGGGCCAACTCATCCCCAGCCCATACTGCACACTTTACATAGGACAAAACCGCCTCATACCGTATTTGGCATAAGGACGAAAAAAAAATACAAAATAAAATAGAAAAAAAAGGAATATATAGAGCAAGGGAGAGAATGAGAGCATTAGAAAAGCGAAAAGAGCAGAGTTCGAAGGCCAAAATTGGCGGGATGGTGTGGTAAGCTTGGTCGCGGTGTGTGTGCCAGGCTGCCCGGGACCTTGTGGTTGGTTATCTTGTCCCCCTACAGGGTTGACGAGGCCACGTCAGGTAAGTCTCCAACACACACTACACCCGGGCAACAACCAACCACCACTATCTCACACTCACTCATATGCTAGTAGGTATACATTTACTTATTGCTACCTATCATTAGTAATATTTTCTAGTTTGGTGCAGAGGTCTAGTTTCTAGTTGGGGCAGGTTTGGCAACTACTTACTCAACAGTGTGGGGTACTTAGTAGTTTTAAAGTAACTTGCCCTCATATAATTTCAAGTTTACATTGGATCTTAGAAGTATTTGTAAATTGTATTACTTAAGATGCACGTAATGGAGGTATGTTGGTATGTTGTGCAGGCATATACAATGACCACAGTTATTGAGGTCGCTTGAAAGTTTTATCGGTTACTTCCAAAATGTGTTCCCATCAGGTTTATGAGAAGTGTGTGTGTGTATAATATATACATGCAACATCACAAAAACACTTGATCCAAGTATGCGGAAAAACTACGTATGAAAAAGAAAATGCTAAACGCGTTTTCGGCTCAGTTCGCCTTCATCAGAGCAAAATAGAATTAAGAAAAAGTGGTAGGCAGACCTTATACCCACCAGGGCAAGTGACCTGACCACCAAGATAGGGGAAAGAAACTTACGGATAATCATATTATATATATGATTATCCGTAGGTTTCATTCCCCTATCTTGGTGGTCATCACAGTTAGTCTGCTGATGTTATGGTCAGGTGACCTGACCACCTTCTTGAGATCTTGAGGTAATCTTGAGATGATTTCGGGGATTTTTAGTGTCCCCGCGGTCCGGTCCTCGACCAGGCCTCCAGCCCCAGGAAGCAGCCCGTGACAGCTGACTAACATTCAGGTACCTATTTACTGCTAGGTAACAGGGGCATAGGGTGAAAGAAACTCTGCCCATTGTTTCTCGCCGGCGCCTGGGATCGAACCCAGGACCACAGGATCACAAGTCCAGCGTGCTGTCCGCTCGGCCGACCGGCTCCTAATAGTACACCTAGTACACCCATTGAACTCGCCTAGTTGTGCTTGCGGAGGTTGAGCTCTGGCTCTTTAGTCCTGCCTCTGAACCATCAATCAACATATGTACAGATTCCCTATCCTATTGGGCTCTATCGCATCTACACTTGAAACTGTGTATGGCGTCTGCCTCCTCCACATTGCTTTCTAATTCATTCAATTTATACACTAAACAAATTTTTTTATAATATCTTTATGGCTCGTTTCGGCACTCAATTTCCACCTGTGCCCTCTTGTGTCTTTGTCTACCCTATCAATTCCTTTGAGAATTTTGTACGTGGTGATCATATCCCTCCTAACTCTCCCATCTTCCAGCGACGTGAGGTTAAATTCATGCAGTCTTTCCTCATAGCTCATGCCCCTCAGTTCGGGCACTAGTCTGGTGGCAAACCTCCAAGCCATCTCCAATTTTGTTTTATGCTTCACGATATATGGCCCCCATACTAGAGCTGCATGCTGCAGGATTGGTCTGACATGTGGTATACAAGGTTCTAAATGATTCCTTGCACAAGTTTCTAAAGGCCGTTCTTATGATGACTAACATGGCAAATGCTGCTGATGTTATCATCTTGAGGACTTTTGGGGACAGGTCTGGCATACATATATATATGTCTGTGTGTCATATATACACATACATATATGTATATATAAATGTGTATATATAATTATATATGTGTATATAAATGTGTGTGTATATATATATATATATATATATATATATATATATATATATATATATATATATATATATATATATGTATATATGTATAATAATTATACATTATATTAATTTAAAATAATGTGCGTGTGTAATTTATTCATATACTGTGTATAATTTATACTATACATATGTGTGGTTTAATGCATGCAGTATACACACTTTGTATTCAATACACAGTACACTGCAAACTTATACTTCATACTGTGTGTCCAAGGTATTAGTCGTGTCTATTAAATCGGACGAATCTATGAAAACCCTACATAATTAAAAGTTTTTACCTAATGTTGATACAAAACATTTATAAATAAATGGGGAAAGGTTACCAATAGTTTCCCCGGGTCTCCCATCCATTCGTCTGTAAAACTATTTATCCATCCATCTACCTATTCCTCCATCATTCTCTGTCCAATCATTCTATCCCCCCTATACATCTGCCTCTTATAATTATAATTCTTGTTGTGTGTGGGGGTGATTGCCAGTGAAATTAGCTAGTGGTGTAACACTAAAAAAAAAGTTACCCCTTTCTCTGATAACGATCTATGACTTTAGAAACCTTTGAAGCTGTGGAAAAATCGTCTGCTTTTATGCAAGTTATTAACAGCAGGAAATGTTAATTTTTCCTAGATCAGTAAATAATGATGCATATTATAAGAAAAAAATGCGTTGAAAATATTTTGGCTGTATAACTTACGGGCATTGTCGGAAATCGGCATTGGGAGGGGGTCTGAATGTGACCCTGGCACTCTTTCTCGTTGAATTCTGGCGACCCCAACCAGCCTATGTTCATCCCATACCCCAGACCAGTCCCTCTGCTATTTTGGATGAAGCTAGCCCCCCCAATCGTGTGAACTCCATCTTTGAACAATCAAAACATTCTGTTGTCTGCCTCTGTCTTTCTCTCTCTTGTCTGTCTCTCTCTGTCTGTCAAATAATAAGTACAGTACTCCTTCCATACTGTCACGTTTTGTCCTTGGCCGTCCGTCCTCTTCTCACGTCGTTGTGTACAGATCCAGTTTTTATTTGTTCACACGAACCGCAATGTAGGACCAAATCTGTGAAATATCTGTATATCTTTCTCTGATTTCATTATATCGCCATCCTTTGATACGAGATGTCACAACAGAGGTGCGCTCTTGTGTATCATTCATTATTAAGGTTAGGGTTCTGAAAAGATACGAAATAATTTATCAATTTTTACATTTATAACGCATTAAACGCGACAAACATCAATTTTTTTTTTAAATTCTTCCGATTTCATACATTGCTAATTCTGGGCCACTCTGTATAACGTGAATAATATACACAGTGTCGTGCGGGCTCTGTGTATGTAATGTATAAAGCGTTTGTGCTGCTCTTACGCACTTTAATGTTTACATTTGTAACTTATAAAACTAAATGTATAGTACTAAATTTACACGTATATTATATATGGTATGCATTAATATTAATCAGATTTGTTTTGTTGTAGTAGGATAATCAGAACGTTTATCCTCTTACATCTTCTGCCACTCTGTTTAATGCCTCGCCTAAACCACCACCAACTTTTATCCCACGAAATCACCATTCGTACAGCACTTTATTCGTATCCTCCCATCATCAGAGCCCGCAAGTGCCTGGAAAACCGAGCGAACATGGAAGATGATCGTGTGGGCATCTTGGAGACCCAGCTAGCACAGGCAAAACATATTGCCGAGGAGGCAGATAAGAAATACGAAGAGGTACGACATTCTTAATGCCTGTGTTTAGTTAGGCCTAACGGGAGGATCTTCGGTCATCCCCTGCCAGACAAGGCACCCGAGTTAGCAGGAACGAGAGAGCAAGTATAAAATGCTAAAATGTAGTAAAAGAAACTGGGGGAAATTGCAACCTCTTTCCTTCTACACGGTCACTGCTGCAGGTCTGGTCGGGGAGGAATTAAGTCTCGTCTTCAACTGTCTGATAGTTACTGGAGGAGAGTTGCAGCCATAGCAGCAGCAGCAGCAGCAGAAGCAGCAACACAACCACCCCCACTACTGCTGTCAGTGTAGTGGATGCTAACCTGGCGGCTTGTTCCTCCCTCACAGTATGCGCAAGGTGTTGGAGAACCGTTCCCTGTCCGACGAGGAGCGCATGGACGCCCTCGAGAACCAGCTCAAAGAGGCCCGCTTCTTGGCTGAGGAAGCAGACAGGAAATACGACGAGGTGATTGCCGCATGATGGCAGAACCGGTGTCTGTTTTGTGTACCCCCTCTTCACTGTCTCCTCTAACAGTCGCGTGACGTGTTGCGGGTATCGCCAGTAGTTATTACTAACTCAGTGTTGTCTGACCACCCCCTTCTCGTCTTGTTTCAGGAGCCCTGCCCCGTGCCACCTATAATGTGTATCCTCTTGTCTCTTTAACTCCATTATATGGTAGAATAATTTACCACCGCATAATTAGGCCTACTAACAGTCAGAACTACTTTCAATTATAATGACATGTGGCGTGCGTGATTTTTTATTCTTTGAGTGACGCATGATTAACCAGTGTTGATATTGCGGAAATTGATGTAACAGTAATTTTCAAGCTTTAAGTCTTTTCTGAACATTTACAAAAGTAACTGAAATCTTGCTCTCAAAACTAATCTTCATATTTTAAGTTTAAAATTTCCTTTGTACAGCTTTAAGTTCATCAGTATATGCAAAACATAAATCATATTTTCTACCATTTACAAATTTTTTGATGCCGACGACGTGTTTCATCGTGCGGAGATTTGAGCTGCCTAACTCTGGCTTCCGTTTCTTACCTTGCGGCGAGTTTTTCCCCCACTTTCCTCTTGACTGATGGCGCCTCCTGCCCACCTCCACAGGTTGCCCGTAAGCTGGCCATGGTTGAGGCCGACCTTGAGCGTGCCGAGGAGCGTGCAGAGACTGGTGAATCGTAAGTGTCAGGTTTATGGGCGGTACAGCACGGGACACTGTTTTTGTTGTTGTTTTTATCCCCCCTCTCCAGAGGCCACGAACCTCGCTCAACATTGTGTGCGCGCGTGTGTAGAACTCTAATTTTGCATGCAATATTTTGGGTGACATTCCTCAACGTTCCCATGTGCTTTAGCATCAGCATTAATCATTAAAGTACTCCGAATAAGCTTCACAATTGTGAATAGTTTTTCATTAATCATTCCTCCCTGTAAGGCCTTGACAAATCAAGCACTTTGACAGTCTGAGAAATGTGTACCTTAATTGTAGTGATTATCTAGCACCTACCTGGGCCTGGGGCCGCAGCTGCCAGCAGCCTAACACAGTTCATCTGGAGAGTTGTCAAGAGCCGCAACTAGGCGGCCGTTACCACCTGTCACTTGGTAGAGCGCGGCAGACGCCGGCCAGCAGATGCCAACGCCGGTATTAACAAATGTAGCCAAGCTTGGGTTAGTCTAGTAGTGTGTGTGAGAGGCATGTTGCTGGCTTAGGTCTGCTGCGCTCCCTTACTCACCACTCATTTTAGTCTTCTCTTCACAGGGACTGGGATCTCTTGTCGCATAGTTATTATGGTTTTATTTTTTTTTTGTATACCTCTTTACAAGCTTTACTATAATTTTACGTGGCTTGGTGTGTTTAAAATTCTAAACTTTTCTGTAAATTAAGGGATTTTTGCATGGAATATGTTTGGTTAGTCCACATTTTTGTATCACTTTGCACGGCCTCGTATGCTGACAGAGCTTGTGTTTACTGGGAGTATAATTAAACACTGGCGCTAGATAAGATTTTGGCTAGATAAGTGATGGAAGGATGACTTAAGAGTTTAATCTACTGCAAGTAACCAGTGGTGTTGAACACTCCCAGTGTACACAGGGCCGGCACCACCATGTAACTCTGGTTAGCGTGAAGCTCACTGCATGACACACAAGTAATAGTAGTGCTTTTGTTTGGTTATTGCCTTGTTGGTGCTGCGTGACCCCGGTTGACTCCTAGCTGGCCCGCAAGTGCGTCATGTTGGAGAACGACCTGGAGAGGGCCGAGGAAAGAGCAGAAGCTGCCGAGGGGTGAGTACTGGGGTGTCGTCGGCTTACTACTGGGTAGTAACCGTGACAACCCAAATAACACTAGAAACTGCAGAGGATGAATTACAATAAAAATAACACTAGAAACTGCAGAGGATGAATTACAATAACGTGGCTGAAGATATGATGGCCGAACTACACACCAGAACACGAAGAAACGACGTCGTTTCGGTCAGTCCTGGACCATTACATAAAACTTGATAATGGTCCAGGACGGACCGAAACGTCGTTCCTTCATCTTCTGGTGTGTTTGGTCACATACTAGAAACTGGTATGCATTAAGTTACTTTTTGATAGTCAATAAATAGCTGCGGCTTCGTATGGGCTAATAGGCCTTCTACAGTTTCCTTAATATTTGTTCTTTGAAACAATATTTTAAGATTTAATAATTAATGTATCATTTGTATTCAGTAATACCTTTGTTCAAATCTGAATATACTTACTAAATTATTGCACACGGTAAAGAAAGGAAGGTAGTCATTTTGTTATTTAAAGATTTCATATATACATATACCGTAGATGGTGTTGGCATTAGTCTAATTACCTTCCCTGTGACTTGCAGTAAGATCGTCGAGCTTGAGGAGGAACTGCGTGTCGTTGGCAACAACTTGAAGTCTCTTGAGGTGTCCGAAGAGAAGGTAAGACCAAGTTTCCAGTATCTAGCCATTTTGGGTAAACTTCTGGGACATTGTACATTACACACATTTCAAACTTATTTTAATAACTGTTAAAGTCCTCCACCAGTATACTGTATTCAAAGGCTCTTTAGGTCTTCTGCGGTAATATATTTGTTTTACAAGATTACAGGAGAAAATTGTTACCAAACACCATTCTTCACGCACTCTACAAAACATGATTTATATCGCAGTCCGGCATAATGTACATTCCATCCATTCTCGGCCTTTAGCCTTTCACATCATAATTATAATTCAGTATAAAATTGACTTGGAATTTACAAATATGAAGCAGTAATTTGATTAGTGAATGATGGCGACTGCTGATGTATGGACGTAAGCTGATGTAAGCTTGTATTCATTCTACTGAAGCCGGGGGGGGGGGATATTTTCTCAATTGGAGAGAATATGGTGGTGGGATGGGGAAGTGGAGAGGAATGCGTGGTCGGGTGGATGAGAGATTGGGAGGGGAAGAGGGGGGGGGGGCGGTGTGGAAGAAAACAAGGGACCCCCGAGCGGGCAGATGATAACCTGACCTTCCCCAACAGGCCAACCAGCGTGAAGAGGCTTACAAGGAGCAGATCAAGACCCTTGCCAACAAGCTGAAGGCGGTAATGATGGCAGCCTCATTTTGGACGATATATATATTTTTATTTGTTTGATGACTTGGCTTTACAGAGTGTTGACAAGTATCCTGTTCCCTCAATTGCTGACGGTTGTCGTACTAATAATATACAGTATACAAGTGTATGTGTTTTAATTTACTAACAGTTTGTAGGATTTTTTATTTAAAATAAGTTTTTAAACAAAGTTGGTGTTGTCGTGTGAAACTAGTAATTAATCGGTAATAATCTAAAGTTTTGATTTGGACAAAATCTTGGTGCCTCACACTGCACGCAGTACATAGATACTGTTGTGTGCATGTTTTTGTTGTACCTCACATCTGTTGTGTGTAGCAGTGTCATGCTTTTAATATTTATTGGTACTAACCTGAACGTGTTTTTGTATGAATGCAACAGTCTGCGCAGAAAGAAGACAAGATGGAGTCACAGCTGAGAAGTTTGACACAAAGCTTAAGAGAGGTAATAATGTGATGACTTTGTATTGGTGGCTAGTATTGCCAGAGGGTGTTGGATCATCTGCTGTTTTTTCTTCTTTTGTGCTGTTGTTTGAATGTGGGCCTTTTTAGTCAGTGCATTGATAAATCTTTCGTTCCGGAGCTTCCTCGTGTATTCCACTGCAGTTAAGTAATATGGCTTGCATGTCGGTACAGCTAGCAGAGTACATACTGTAAGTGTAGGGATGTCAGCCTTGCAATGGTATCTTAGTTTTATATCTTCTTGTGCGTGCAATATGGTGCTGTGTCTGGGGAAACTCTAGGGGTTAGGCAGATATCCAGCGATGGCAGTGGCAGCATCTGCAAGAGGTACTTTGTATCATGGCTGGAGCTTGTCCCCTAAATGTTCTTTTAACTCTTCTTGTTACCGTTGTTGTTTTAGGCTGCACAGAGGGAGGATAACTTTGAGGAGCAGATCAAGGAGCTGAGTCACCGTATGAGAGAGGTATATGATCCCCCTCCTACTTTCCTGCATCAAATGTATAGGCTGCTTCTCCCACTAATTTTTCTTTGCCTTGATAAACAAGATCATTTGCCATCCACATATGCTTCATTAGTAACGCCACTGTACTTAGCATAAATTGTTTCCAACACAAATTAGTTTATTTGCTTTAGACTAAATATACATCAAAGCAAATTAAATTTCACAAATTCACAAGCTGATACTCAGTGCTTAATTCTTTCTGCCACTGCTTCTTCCTCACCCACTTCTCTTTCTTGCCTGTAGTGTCTGTAAGAGTATGAATGGAGAACGTTGGGATCATTATGGAAGGGGCTGTACACACTACTGAATTAATTTTGATCTTCACTATAATTCTTGCTGGTGAAGAAAGTCTTGGCTTTTGTCAACTATGACTACTGCACATTTTCTGCTTCTCTTTATTCTTTTGGTGGTGGGAAGATGCTGTAAATGGCGTGCTGGCCCATAGTGAGTATATATCCTTGGCATGGTGGTGGGGAGGGTCATCCACCCCACCTACTGTTATCTTGCAAACCAAGCGGTATGTCTGCACACATCGGTAAGTTGTCTCCTTCATTTGTATGAATGTAAATTTTGCATGTTATTTTCTTTGAGCTGCATGTTCATTACACTGAAATAGTCATTTTTATACTGAGGAAATTATTCATGAGCATATCTGTTAAATTCTGGCTGGTTGTCATGGTGTATTAACATGTGATGACCGAACACCCCCCAGGCCGAGGCTCGTGCTGAGTTCGCAGAGAGGTCTGTGCAGAAGCTCCAGAAGGAGGTCGACAGGCTTGAAGGTATGTGCTCACATATACTGACATGTAAACATGTGTACACTTCACACACGGCATGCACACCAATGTCCAGTGTGCCTGTTCACATGTTCTTGCCACACGAGTGTGCACACGTGTGCTCACTACAACACAGCACACACACATTGTATACATACTGTGCCCTCGTCTGTCACTCCTACACTCGTCCACTGTCACTTTTGTAATTGACCTGATTGGCTGTTACAATTGAGATTTTGACTCTAATGCATATTCATGTATAATCCCATAACCTCAAACTGTCCATTGTAATAATTAGTGATCTTGTCCTAAAAATTATATCCCAGTATGATTTTGTGAAAGTCCTGAGCATATCATGTTCTTAAGTCAGTTTACCCCTTGCACGGCTCAAGTTGTTTTTGTAACATGCCCGTCATGGCCCACATTAGTAATTATCCTTTACCTTCATATCGGCGTTCAAGTTCATAATCTATTAAGTTTTCAACTTTTAAATTATCAAAGCTCAAATATCGAAGAACTTTAATAACAAAATTCTACTTTAACACTCCTGTGGTACTTTTTAATGTTATCGAGTCAAAAGTTCTCTTTGGAATTATTTACGTTAAAAAATTAAACCAATTTGGTGAAAAAAAATCAATCCTGGCAAAGCCCTACAATTCAACATACACAAAGAATCACCATTGACAACATCCATGATCGACTACGGCACTGCTATCATGCCTACACTCACAAAAAAAAGTATAGCGTATTATCGTATAGCGTATTATGTCTTTTTCAATCAAATTACCCAAATGGCACGTCTTTGAAAAGAGATTTCACATCTGTCATTGGCTTCTTTTTAGAATTGGTATTTCATCTATTGGCTGTTTAATTTTCTTGCGCATCATCGCCAATGCAATAATCCACGCAACTTCTGCAACAGAGGTTAAAGCTTATATTTTATTTTGCTTCTGTTATTTCAAATAGCAAGCAACTTTGGACTGTTGCCTGTCAATAGCAGTGTCAGTGGCCGGGCCGCCGTGCTAACATGTTGTTTACTTTTATTTTCCTTTCCCCTCATGGTTGCTGCACATTACAGTCCTTAAGTTACTAATATAAGTTACAGTCCTTGTAATCCCCTTTTTGTTCCTCTGTGTTTAATTGTAAGTTTATTTTTTCCTTGTTCATGGTCTTCAAAATGATTATTATTTTCCTCTTTAAATCTTGTAATATTACAATCTATTTTATTTATTTTGGAATGATGGATAATCTTATTGTTATCTTTCAAAAACCAATTTTGCATTGCTTAGTTTTATAAGCTATCTGCCCAAATTGAAGGAGAATCTTTGTGTTGAGGTGTTAGCTAGCCTTGCTGAAGCTTAGACTACTCTAGGTTAGATGAATTTAACTCCTGGCGCTGACCGTGCCTAGTAGTAGCCAGTGAACTGAGCCTTCCTGGAAGACAACGTCCAAACCACCCGACGGCTTGTTTACCCCTCCCAAGTCCACCTCATGGCTACAAGCAAGTCTTGGGGTGTCTCTTTACCCACTCATCACACCAGCCCATGCCTAACATGCATGTCCACCCACATGATAGTTGTAGATGGGTGGGTGAGCATGTGATGCAAGGGCACTGTGTGACTCCCAGGTGACTGAGCAGACCAGGTTGAACTCCGACAGCGGCAGGACGACCTAACAAAACCTGCCCCCTTTCTCCATTTTTTTTTCCTTGATTGCCTTTATCATTTTTTCTTGTGTGCAAGCACATTTTAGTCCTATGGTGGCCGGTGTATCGATAATACACCAGCCATAGTTGCATTAAATTGTAGTGCCGATAGCAACCTCACCTACCACACGCACCCACCCACCCACCTCCCAGCTGTCACCCTTTCAAGCACACTGACTCCTTCCATCCACCTGATAACAGCCACTGTCCTAGTCCTGCTTAGTTATTTTGTCTGATAAGTGTCACTGCACCTCAGATGTGTAGCCAACACCTACTTAAACAAAAGCCTGTAATATTATGGTGTTTGATCCTCTGTTATGTGCTCATCATATATCTACAAATTTTTGCTCAAACCAGTATCATAGTTCCTTGGCACATAACAATGGGTCTGTTGCATCTTTTAATGATCCATTTATTTAAAAAATAAATTCACTAAAAGACACTGCCTGGTGGATAGACAGAAGACAGTAGCATCCAGGACCTGCTTTAAGGTTAAGTTTGGCACGGGCTCTGAAAGTGTCTGAAGCCTTAAAGCTTGTATAGGAGGGCTGATACTATCTTGTGTAGACCAGCTGTTCCTCTGCATGCCCCCCCACAGGTATTTGTCCCCTCTTATGCTAGATATGGAACATGATCGAGCTCCTGCTTGCTCCTCAGCTCACACATGGACATGCAACGGATACCAAGAGAAGTCTGAACCATTACTCGGACTGTTCGATATATGGACCCAGTTCGACTTTGTAATACTTTCAGGTGGAATAAGTTACTGATATCCTTCTGAATACAGTTACACTCCGACTTCACTTCACATGACCATACCTAATACCAAGAAAAATCCAACCTACATGTTAAATTTCATCTTTAAACTTAATTTGTAAAGTCCTTGAATTTATTATAAAAAGTATGAATTGGTAGTTGTGGTTTTTCCTTGGTAAGTGGTATAAGAATGAGGGTGGTGAATCGTCGTGTTGCCTTACTTGTATCCTCATATCCTACCCATTTCCCAGCCCCTATCGTCACACACCCAACAACAGACGGGAGCCCCAAAAATGGGTTACCTTACTCCCATCTCTTCCCACTTTGATTGGACCTGACTTGACCTTTCTCGTGAGCATATTGACCCTACATCTGACCTAATTGCTTAATTCTGTGGTGGCAAGCTTCGGCTAACGTGAGTTAAATTCCTTTAAATAATAACAAAAGTAGTTAGATACCTTAGTATATTCAGTGTTCATTTTATTTATCATAAATCTTAATTGAAAGTGCTGTTCAAATTGATTTGATTGCTGGCAAACTACTTTGTGATTACTGTTGCCTATCAACTTTAGTACACATTAACCGAAGCTGTGCATTATTTTGCCCCACTTGAATCCACCACTGATGACCAGGCCTGAGTGAGACCAGGCATAGTGTCTGCAACACTAATTAGTTACAACTTTGTTAAGCATGGTGTTCTTTTTTGTGTGCTTTATGGTTTTATATTATATTTTTGTTTACTTTGTTATTTTTAGTTACTTAACTGTAGCCATTTGTAGTTTTTATTTTATAACTGCATGTGTGTGTGTTTTCTTTGTTTTGTTTGCAGACGATCTAGTTGCCGAGAAAGATAAGAGTAGGATGCTCCAGGCTGACATGGAGGCCACTCTACAGGACATCCAGAATATGTAAACATTACCAGAGGACCCGCTGGAGGAAGCAGAAAGTCACAGGTTGGCATTCGAACCGTCGCAAGTGCTCTCGCTCCCCAATCACTTTCTTTTCTCATGCTACAATTCTTTGAAAGTGAACGACTATCTTATCTCAACCTTGTAGTAAAGCTATATTCTCTTACTTTCCTCATTAAATGGGGCTTTAGGCACTGGGCTTGCTCTTTCGCTTTTTTTTCCTTCGGTAAGCTTAAAGTTGTAGTGCTTAAAAAAAATGTAAAAGATTTGGGTTTTTTCTTTAGCTCGGTTATGAAGTAAAATCTCTTGAGCAGCAAACTTTGTACAGTCTTCTCCATTAGCAGTTGCCTGTTGTGGCAGATTTTTTTTACCACCTAATTTGCATTATTTCATGACTTGTTTAGATTGGGGTCGTTGCATAATGCATTTGCAATTAAATTAGGGGGAATATAACTTGCGGGAGCGTAGGCTTCGACTGTGATAATCTTGCTTCCTCCGGTTCAGACTAGACGAGTTGTAGGATGGTCCTAACGTATACCGGCATTTAGAAATTATTCTGCCTTTGGGCACAGGTTTTAGCATGTTGTATAATGATGCACTCTATGAAATATCTTTGCATAATGGGGTCGTAAATGAAGTCGAGAACTTTCATAATATATCAAATGTCTTTCAGAGAGTGTTGAATTATAGTTTCACAGGTCAGTCAGTGTGATCACTAATAATCGATCTTTGCTAACATTTTACGTGTGCGATTCTCAACTGTTAGATGTGTGTGCTTAGTTCAACTGGCAAAAAGCCTGGTTGTTGAGAATCGCCGTGGCGCTTTACCATTAATACCATCCTCTTTTTTCCGTACTAACCAATATCTCTCCCACTCTTCTCCCTTTCAGACGAACTTGTCATTCAGAAGGAGAGGTACAAGTCCATTACCGACGAACTGGATCAGACGTTCACCGAAATGTCTGGCTATTGAGCTGTCCACCCTGATGAATCTACTAAACTACTACTACTAGTCCATAACAACTTCTCTGCTCTTACCCGCCACCGCAACCACCATGACCACTACCACCATGATCGTTGCTCTGCTACCTGTCATCTATTTGTTACCCCCCCTACTACTGCTAGTCACTAGTCGGTGAGGGCGTGGTTGCCTTACTTGTGCTATTTCCCTAACTATATATATACTGTGTATATATGTATATAAATATATATATATAATGTATATATATATAGTCCACCCCCACACCTCCAATTCTACTTCTGCTGGAGGTCCTTAAGAAACCATGGTGCAGCCAGACCGACACCATGAATACCAATGTAGGTAAAGAAAACATGCCTTCTTCCTACTTGGGTGTTCTTGCTGCTGGCTCTGGCTAACTGCCTGCATCAGTAGAAGTGGCAGAAGCGGTGCAAAGTGGCTAAGCCTCACCACTGCCCAAGCCTCGCTGCCCCTTCAGTTCCATGGGGGCCTGGCTGCCTCCTGTAATAATACTGCCAACTACCGGTCTTCTCTTTTAATAACTTAATAGTAGCGCATTGTTGTAACAGCTCACCCCGATTTTGTAATGCTGTTCAAAAAGTAGGCTTTCACCTATGTGGATATAACATGTACAATTTTATACTTACAAATTCTTTTTATTTGATTCGATGCTCTTGTAAATAGGAGAAAGTGAGCAGGTGTTAATTATTATTGGGAGTGTGAACATGTGGGTGGAAGACGACCCACTAGCCAGCAACTAGCTACTACTAGGGCGCCGCTCACGGTCATGGATTCGATAGTAGTAGTTTGTGTTAACACGCGGCGGCGGCGCTCAACTTCCCTTGTCTCCTCAGTCGCCTTCAGCTTCTGGGAACTAACTCTTTCTTTTGGCCGTGTTAATTGACCTGTGTTTGTTAATCTCTACTTTGCAGACGAACTGGTTAACGAAAAGGAGAAGTACAAGTCCATTACCGACGAGCTGGACCAGACTTTCAGCGAACTGTCTGGCTACTAAACACTCTCTGCTCCAAACTGTTCTGCCATCTCTCTTCCTATGCCCTCAGCTGGCCTGTAACCTATTTTTTCATAAGCTTATGTAATTCAGTTATAAGAACTCTTTTTACTTTTCCTTCTTTTTATGTGTTGCATTTGACCTCCAATTAAGTCAGTATCATCACTAAATCATTCGATAACGTTGGTTAAGTCTGCCATTGAGGTAATTTAAATGTTATTAAACTTAAATTTATTCAGGAACCTTGATTTTGAAGATAATTCAAAAAGCTAGGTTTCATGTACACTTATGGCTTAATAACATACAGAAATAAATATTTATTATCAAATGGATTTGTTTTGTTGTTTACGCTCTAATCCCGATACGACCATGAGTAACGACCACTCAGAGCGAGTGGCCCTAAGATGATCCTAGGACCACTGCCGCCACAACCAGCCAGTGGAATACCTGTAAAATCTCTCACCCATCTGTTACAGATGAACTTGTTAATGAGAAAGAAAAATATAAGAACATTGCGGATGAGATGGACCAGGCGTTCTCAGAATTGTCAGGATTCTAAGTGTGGCAAACTGGTGGGCGCCAACACGGTGCTTGGACGGGCGTACGTGTCCGCGGTCGTGTGGGCGGGGTGGTGCACTCCGTCCCCGCCCGCGGCACGCTCACGCCTCTGCGGACTGACTTGACTGACGGCCGAGACGCGCCCCACATCACCACCACTACCAACACTGCCTGGCCCGCCACGCTATCGTCCGCCGTGTATAAGGCCGAGCCCCCCAGAGGAACAGAGCCTCAATATTGCCCACGCCACACCTTAGGGGATACTGGGTTGTACTGAAGCTCTGACCCCTCCCCCTCCCCTCCCCCCCAAACAAGCTTCAATGATGCCCACAACCAGTGTGGTAGTGAGCGTAATCGAAGCTTGGTTAATGGGTTCAGCCCACGTGTCTCTTGCTCTACCGTATGTAAGGGTGCAAAGGTTCACCTTCTTTACTCGAATTGCAATCAGTCTTTATGCATCATGCATTTATTCTATATGGATTATCAATAATATATGTTAATAATATTATTCAACTTTTAAATCTGGATCTTATACTTACAGAATGATTGTACACTGTTTGTTTAACGTGTAATAAATTTTGTAAACAAAACATTGTTTTTGTTACTTTTTTCCCATATTTTGAAGGACAATTTTTTTTAGTACTAATTTTTTTAGTATGGCAATCAACACTATAATCTAAAGTTTGTTTTTCTTCAATTAGACTAATTTATTAGTAAATATTTTACCTAGTATAAGTAATTTTTTTATGCATTTTGGATTTATTAAATTATTTAAAGTAAATTAGATGTTTAATAACATTGTTAAAAAGCCCCTCTTGTAGCGGATTGTACACCATACAAGAATGTGTAAAACTCCTCAAAATTTTGTAGGAACTATTTGACAAATTTATAATAAATTTTACATGCTTTACAATAAATCTAAAGTTGAATTTTCTGTAACATATGCTTATGTAGATAGAGCCCTAACATTTAAAAAAAATATATATGTACATAACAAACTACAATAGCCTTGAATGTTTTGATCAGACTAATAAAATAATGGAATCGTAGATTAGCAGTCACAATGATGAAATTGCAAAGCAAATAATTTATCAAATGCTATCAGTTCGGTTTAATAGCAGGGTTAGCTAAACAAATTACATTTATTTCACCCGACTGCTTAACAATGATTGAAACGAATTTACACCTTACTATACTGTACAGTAATACTGGTAGCCAGTAAAGTGTTTTGTAGATAAATAATGCACCTTGCATAGACTTTATGTAGATGAAAGTAATTTTACACAAAAAATTATTTGCACTATTAATTTAAAAGTTTGACTCCTTTATCATATGACTTAAAACTTTTTCTAATCAATTTATCATTTTTTTTTTATTGAAGCCAATTGCCTTCTTCAATCGACGATGGGTTCTGTCTATTCTAGTATGCCCTCGAATCCCTTCCATGTGCTCTAGTCATACTGGCTTGGCGGCTTTCTCATAATTTCCTTGTTCGACTTCAATTAACAGGGTCATAAGAATTGAGGCAAGAATATTAGAGGGATAGCATCTCAAAATTGCTGAATTACTAAAAATAGTAGAGGACTGAAGACTTAGAGGTAAAATAATTATCAGAAGGAAGCACAGCCAGTATGACTAATACTTGTAAAAGATATGTTGATGGAGCTGGAATGTGAAGGAACTGCTCAACCACTTTGAACATTGGAGATTGAAACCCGCCCCTGCAAGAGGCAAAGGTGTTGCTATTCGAAATTAGCCGGATGATTGTACTGATGTGCGAGAGAAGGCTTAGAAGTGAATATCAGCAAAAATAAACTAGAGAACTAGAATCAATTGCAGCACTAGGTATAGCCCTAGAAAATAGAATATCTCAAGGAACCATTAGCTATATATAAAAATGGATCGATATAAAAATATCAGTCAGGTTGATATATTACTAGAACGTCGATGTAAAAGCATCTGAGGGTAAAACAAATCCACGAGGGTTCGAACCTACGTCCGAGAGGATCCCAGACGCTGCCTTAATCGACTTGATGTGTTCATTTGATGCATCACGCTATTATGATTTATGTGTGATCTGAGGGTAGACCTACCACTAGCATGATTTTTTTTTGGCCCAAGATCTGTCCAAGTAGACACTGTAACTGCTATAAGCACCAGCCTCCCATAAGACGCTATCCATAGTACTCATCGATGCTAACTTGCATATGAATAGACAACAATAAGCTCAAAAGTATAGTCTTCACTTTTTATGACAGCTTGTAATAGGCTTCAGAGGGGGAAATGGTTGTTAGGCTAAGGGTTGTAGGCAAGTATTGCCCACAAAGATAGGTATGGGTTCAACAAACTTTTCAATATCGCTAAAATGGGTAAAAAATTAAAAAGTAACCGTTACATACTATAAGTGTGATCAGCCTCAAGTGGTTGGGTGTGTGCGCCTAGGTTCATTCCAATTATTGTTTGTCAAAATTACTTTAATTGGATGTTTGTCTAGGACTTGTCCTAAGCTTGTCCAGGACGTTCCTTCAACTCGATCTGGATCCACGTGCTCCACGCCCGTCCAAGACCTATGACCTATCGAGTCCCATTCTGATTCCGTCCATGACAGGTCTAGAGTCCGTCAAGGGCCAATTAATCCGTCCCGTACAATATTGAGTCTGTCCCAAGACAGGTTTTGACCACCAGCCCGGAGCCCACCCAAGGCAGGTTTTGAACCCCTGTCTCCTGTACATACCACACCAACCTATAACAATTCATCTATATTGCTATCATTCAACACAACCGTTACCACGTCCCAGAGAGAAGCGCTGCATCTTGTACCCAGGAGTTAGGCAACTGTAGTGGGACGCATTATGATGAAGGTCAGTAGACAGATGACTTTAGGGGAATGTCGATGAGCTTAACAGGCTTAATGTGCCACTCGGTGAAGTCAAGTAATTAGCAAAAAAAAGGCAAGTCGGGGGAGACTTTGTAGCATCATCAAATTTGCAGGATATTCATAAAAGCGCTAAATATCACTAGGGACGCCAATACGAGAACACAAGCGCATAAGGTGAGCGAAATCAAAGGTATCTGATCCACCAAGGATTCTATCGAGAGACAAGTGACTGAGGGACGGTCGGGAAGCAAGACACGTGTATGTCCTGTAAATCAGGATCTTCAACAAGGATATGCACGACCGCAAGAGGGAGAAAAAGGAGCAGGACGGCGCTCCATTAAGTGCCTGCGAGTTAATAGGTAGTTTATCTTGAGGTTATATTGAGATGATTTCGGGGCTTTAGTGTCCCCGCGGCCCGGTCCTTGACCAGGCCTCCACCCCCAGGAAGCAGCCCGTGACAGCTCACTAACACCCAGGTACCTATTTTACTGCTAGGTAACAGGGGCATAGGGTGAAAGAAACTCTGCCCATTGTTTCTAGCCGGCGCCCGGGATCGATCCCGGGACCACAGAATCACAAGCCCAGTGTGCTGTCCGCTTGGCCGACCGGCCGTATATAGCCTATACATAACCTCGCCAAAACAGTTACCCACCGCTGGAGTAGGAGGAAGACCAAGGGGACAGGCTTTCTTAGGAGCACGCAGTTAACCAGTAAACAAGGAAGTCAGACCATCCGGTATTTAGCCTGACAACGGGATGTAGTCAAATCGTATCAAAGACCCTTCAACAAAGCTCGGTTTTTATTCGTTAAAACTCCATATATCATTGGAAGGTTGGTGTAGGTTAGGCTCGAGTTTAACAGTTGGCGAACCGTCTGGTGTCCGTGACGACACTAGCCTTGTTCTAGTTTTAACCTCCATAAAACAGGGTGGTTTAGCCTAACCTCAGAGCGTGAGAACCTGGGCTACCAGCCTAACCTTCCGGAACCCAATAATCATTGCTCATAATGCGTTAATATTGTGTTCATAAGTTCCCCAAACCTCTGCAATTTTTACGTCTGGGTTGACTGTGTAAAAATATAAGATTCGTAGGTATACGCTCACCTCAGGTGCTTCGGGACGACACTCACCTCAGGTGCTCCGGGACGACACTCACCTCAGGTGCTCCGGGACGACGCTCACCTCAGGTGCTCCGGGACGACACTCACCTCAGGTGCTCCGGGACGACACTCACCTCAGGTGCTCCGGGACGACACTCACCTCAGGTGCTCCGGGACGACACTCACCTCAGGTGCTCCGGGACGACACTCACCTCAGGTGCTCCGGGACGACACTCACCTCAGCTGCTCCGGGACGACACTCACCTCAGGTGCTCCGGGACGACACTCACCTCAGGTGCTCCGGGACGACACTCACCTCAGGTGCTCCGGGACGACACTCACCTCAGGTGCTCCGGGACGACACTCACCTCAGGTGCTCCGGGACGACACTGCGCCTGGCGGTCACCCCTGC